GCACTTCATATCCTTTCTATACATCTTGCTAGCCCACATTCAGTATGAATGCAAAGTGAGTTTTATTAGTAACTTCACGTGAATATTGCTTTGAACTATGCTTCTAGGTAGGTAGCTGAGAACTTGGTCTTAAACTGATGGCTGTTTCTTTAATTAATTTTTTTAGTCACGCTGTCCTGCTTTATTACTTCTGTTGTAATTTGACTGGCATTATTATGCTGGGGAATCAACAATAAGCAGTTAGTTGAAGTGGTTGGTAATCATGATAAAGTTAAAAAGACTAAACATGCAGGTAATCTTAAAAAATAAAGCTCTTAAGCTTAATTTAGGAATATAGTATTAGAGCACTTAAACTGAATCAAATATTGAATCTCTTGACTGTAGAGGAATCTATTCATAGGCACTGTTAATCTGTGTACTGATGACTGCTGCAGTTGTATCATGAGTTGTTTGGGGAAAACTCTGACTCAGTTTTGAGTTTTTGCTGCTGATCTGCTTCCTTTCGTAGGAAAGTTGAGCTGCTCAGTTATTAATGTGAATATGCTGATGTTTATGTGAATAAACATAAATGGATGGTACTGCCTAATTTATTTTTTAAGTGTAGTCCAACAAAATTATAAATATGGTGCTTGCAGTTTTTCTTGTTTTATGCCAATCCTTTTCTAGGATTTAGTCTAAGGACACATACAGGATTTTCTGAATTTAAAGTAATTTTTCCCCCTGGAATAAGTGTAAGAGATCTGATAAGAATCAGATGGCAGCTGCATAATAGAGTTACATGATAATGTTTCTGAGAAACAGTAGTTACTGGCCATAGGAACCCTGGCTGTAATCAAAAATGTATGTTGATTTTGTATTGTGACATCACACAGATTTCAGAGATTGGGCTTTGAAAGGCATACAATAGTTGTAATTGTGAAAGGAAGCTTGATAAGACAGTTCAGTGAACAAAATGAATGTTAGATAAATGGATATTTGATTTAATCATGATTACAATAAAATACATCTCTAATTCTGTTTTAGTTGTCTATTACTAAATAAATAACTATAGAAGATTTTTCCTTTTGAAATAGATCTAGTTATTTTATTACTGTTTCTTCTTTTTGCAAACATATTCTTATATTTGTAAGTTAGAGATGTAGTCTGTGTTGTGGTGATATAGTGTCTCATTCTGTGTTTAGAGTTTTATAGTTCGTGGCTGATCATGATTTCAGTGCCATTCAGGTGCTATGTTTCCAGAGACTGTGTGACCTTCTGTGTGTGCTGCTTTGGCTCAAGTCAGAACACACTACTGTAAGTTTTATAATCGCTTCCTTTGATAGGATTCAAACCAGATGCCATAGAATAACTAGGGAATATTTGTGTTTGTGGCAGTTTGTTAATTTGTATCCTTCACAAGAGTACTAGTATGACTGTGCTGTGAAAGACAACTGTTACTGCATCTTCCAGCTAGTTTAAAGTATTTGGCTTATGTCCAATGAATTGCCACATATGAAAATTAAGACTGCAAATAAAAGGCAGTGTGATATAAGAAGCTGAATACACGACACCATGATCTGCGTATCTTGTGTATTTTATTGGCATGTGTCTGATTGAACAGATTCTCAGCAATAGGGTATAATGCAGATACCATCAGTCTGTTTCTTGATTGGTTTAGAGAAAGCTCTAAAAGGAAATTGGTATTACAAGAAACTGAAAAACACTGGAAAGCTACTTACTAGCTTAATAGCTTTACAAATTTAGATTGTATTGTATAAAGACATTTTGCTAAGATACAGCGCAAAATTAAGTCAGTGATAGATGAGGTTAAATGCAAGTGGTATTGCCATTGACCTGTATGTTACATTTTCCTTTGGCTGCTGCCTGTTTATCAAATTAGTTTTTTTTTCCTGAATGAGGACACACACCTAAAATAATTGAAGCTATGACATAATATCTGTGTGGAATTTTTTCCTTAAAATACAAATGTGTTTGTGCTAGTCATGTATATTGCTAGAGATAACTGAACAACATGCAGTCTCAAGCTTAAATCAGGTTTAGTGATGAAGTTCTTCAAGAAGACAACCAAGATGGATAATGGTCCAAAGCAGAAATAGCTTATTATTTTCTTTGTTTTAAAGAGATTCGGCAGATACAGTTTAATCTACTAGTCATGTTTTCTTTGTTCTAGTACTTTTTTTATCCTTTCATAGTTGTAGAGGAAGTCAGATACGTCAGCTTTAAAGGCTTTCTGGACATCATGTACATAAACATGGTGGAGTAAAGTATTTGAATGAAAATTAAAGGGTATAATCCATAAATTCCCATAACTGTTTTAGGGATCTCTCTTTGCACCCCTGCCCTTCCCATTTCACCTTCTCATTGTATAGTCAAGTACTTTTTGAATGTTTGGACTTGATTTTGGAGAGCAGAGGTGTACAGCAGTAATGTTTTAGGTGGCTAATGAAAGCTAACTTTTATAGAAGAAACCGGAATCCAAGTGATGCTCAAATAGTTAATTTCCAAGTCAAGACTTCTTTGATTTTTTTCAAGAGTAAAATAGAATTAAAATCATACTGGCTTAACATGGATTTACAAATTTATGACAGGAGAATCACCTAAGTATTGTAGATTACTTTAGTCAATTGAGCCCATTCAAATAAAAGTGATTTTACTTGTCAACAAATATAAATATCTAGGCATAGGGAAATATGACTTGTACCTTAAAAAATGGTTCTATTTTAAGAGTTTTAAACCTAGAAAGAAAAGATGTTTAAATGTTAAGTAACTTAGTGTGGGGAGTATGTGAATCTACTTTTTTGGCCAAAAGTAAGTTTCCTTTTTGATGGAAGAAGAGGAAGTTATATGTGACTTTTAGTGACATTTATGTGACAATCATTGAATTCTGCTTATAACTGGGGGGGGGTACTACTTTTTAAAAAGGATTTTTAAGAATGGGGAGAAGACCTGTCAAGGTACTAGAAAAGATTGAATGGTAATCAAATTAATTGTTAATCAAGAAACTGAAGACCAGTGGCTTCTTTAAATTCACTGCAAGAAAACTGGGATGCATCTTAAAAGCTCAACGTATTTCCTTCTTTTGTTCTTCAGTGGTTTGAGCTAGAGTAATTCAAAACGGAAATAAAATACCTCCTCTTAATTGGTGATTAGTAGTGGAATATCTTATCAACAAAATAGTGGTTTCTTAAATTTCTAAAAATCAGAGTTTCTTTGTTTGTAGCTCAACCAGTATCTCTTAAAGCTTTATCTAAGAGAGCTTACATTATGTGGTGGTGGGAGGAAAAGCCTCATATATGTTTTTATTAGTAACATGTTACTTTCTAACTTCTGGAGATTTAGAGACATGGAGAAAGAATGTAAGTAGCAGAATGACACCCGCTTATTGCTTTTAAGCAAAAGTACTAAGAGTGCTTTGATTAAGAACCAAAGCCCTGAACTTCTAGTACTTTGAACTGTTAATATCAAATTATTTTATCAACATGGGTAATTTTAGACAGGATGCTCCATATGCACTGCAGAGGTTTTTACATGTTAAACACAGTTTTGGGATGTTTTGGAATTCTCATCTAATCAGAGAATCAAGTGTTTTAGTATCTTTCTGATAATTCAGGATGATATTTTTAAATTGAAGAACACTATCTCATAGCTTATTCTGATACAGGATGTAATATGATCAGTGCTTCTTCATTACTAGCAATAAGCTACTCCTGTGAAGTCTTTCTGAAGTGGGTATGATTATGCATTTTAAATATATTAGTATAGAGATGAGTGTGATGATACATATTGAAAACCAAATTGTAGCTCAAGTCTTCTGAAAACTGAACAGCTGGATTTTTAGGGGTTTTTCTTTAAATATTTTGACTTGTAGGAAAAGAGATTAGTGAAAAACCTCTTTAAAATGGTGCTTTGATTTCATGTTAATTTTGCTAAACCAGTAATTGTTATATAATTTTTTACCCAAAGCTGTAGTTGGTACATTGCAAATTTGTGCCCTCAGTGTGTCTCTATAGTAAGGTATGAAAAATTGAAGGCTTTATGCAGAAAACACTTAGAATTAGGGTTACATTTGACCTACAGAAAATGAAGTTGAAATCCAGTGTTTCATTAAGGTGTTCTGAAAACAGGTTTGGTACTTCTGTGTAGTGCATTATTGAAAGATTGGACACTGTAGAAAAAGCTCACATGAAAATAATACATTTTCAGTGTATTAAATATTTGGAATAAATGAAACAGACGATGTGTACTAAAGAACAAAAACCCAAAGATCTGGAATAACTTGCTTCCCTAAGCAAACAAAATTTATTCTGCTGAATGAGGAAGATGTCCCGTGCATGTGAAAAAGTACAACATGAGTAGAAGCAATTGTATCAAGTTATTTTTAGTTAAGTAGACACACAATGCATATTCTACAAAAAGGTGGAAGTAAAATTGGATCATAGGGCTTTAACTATTTGTATGTTCGAAATTCTGGATTGCCTGTGTTCCTAAGGCAGGTGTTCATTTAAAACTATAAAGTCCAGACTGAATGTATCATTACACTCTTGGGTTCATTAATAGCTTTTTGATTTTTTAAATGATTTCTCTAGATAATAAGGTGCTTTTATTCCTAAAGGTAGAAATAGCCTTAATTTAAGAAGTTTAATTTAAGTATATTTTTTTTGTACAAGAGCTTATTTAAAGCCTTCTTAGCATTTCAAAACCCTGTTTCAATTTATGGTTACAAAACTAATAGAGAGGTTCTAATTTTAACTTTTTATATAAATCTTGATATCTTTCACAAGTCAAATATGTAATAGTACCCTTTTCATTAAAATGTTTGTGACTATCTTCAATATTCCTGTTGTGTCTTTTACCTGTAGTTTTTATGAAGTTTATTTTTGTTTCTATGTGAAAAATGTATTTTTAACTTATGATCGACTTGAAATTGGGTAGGAATTATACTGCTATGTACCTTAATCTTAATTAACCCCTTATCATTACTTTGTATTTTCATTTTACAGATGGAATACCTCAGGTTTATTATTTTGGCCCATGTGGCAAATATAATGCCATGGTGCTAGAACTACTTGGACCTAGTCTGGAAGATTTATTTGACTTGTGTGGTAGGACATTTTCTCTTAAAACCGTTCTTATGATAGCCATACAGTTGGTAAGTAGAATAGATGTTAATTTGAGTGTTCACTAGAATAACTATATTAGTCTTCAATGGATTAAATGCTTTCTTCACTTAGGAGATTTGCACTTCAGTTTTAAATTGATGTTGGTGGTATTTAAAATTCTTGTCATACAATTTAAGCAGGAATACTCTTAGATTACTTTCATTTACTTTGTTTCAGTTTTTCAAGTCATTTAGTGACTGTAATTACTTGTGTCTTCTGCGGTCTTATCGCAATCTAAAATCATGAATTTTGATATACTCTTTCAAAAAAGAAAACCTTAAAGAAATAAAAGTAATTTTAGCCCAGACAAGCAGTTGTATTATGAGACTCCTAAATATCATAAGTATTTTTTTCCTGGGCATTCTTATAAGAAAGCAAACAAACAAATGAAAAATTCCCCAAATTCTTCTAGAATTTATAGCACAAAATTATTAAATGAAGAATTATTCTCTTTTTTGATGATTCCTTATTTGGTTCTGACTTGAGGGTGGGTGGAAGTGGAAAGAAGGACAAATAAGGCTGTACATATTTACCAGATTTCCACCTCCCTAAATAGTGATATTTTTACCCGTAATGGTTAAAAATAGCTGTTTAAAACATGATTGTAGTTATATAACAGACTCCAGCTACAGACGTACAGATGTACAGACACATTGAACTTATTTATAGCCAAGTTCTTTTTTTTAAATGCTCAAGTCCTCACAAGTCCAGAGATCAGCTTTATGTAATACTTCCTGTTCTTTTTCTGAATGTGGAAATTTTGATAGAAAGCAGTCCAGCTAGAATGCATAGTGATGAGCTTTCAGTGCTTCTCTCAGTTATATCTTTAATATGTAATAGATCAGACTTTGCTGCTTACTGCTTGGTGACATAATTTCTGGTTTTACTTTTCATGTACACAAAACATACTTGTGCCAGCTGTTTTGAGAGGCAAAAACTTCTGTTGTGTGCAAGATTCATGACTAATGTCCAGTGTGAAAGTTTCCAATACAACAATTGATGTATCTGCTTTGGAAAAGTGTACAATTTTCATTGACTTTAACTGGGAGATACTTCATTAAGAACAATATTGCTTTGGTTTTAAGCTGTTAGGAGGGGTGATTTCTTCTATGTATAAAGCCAATATAAGATATTTAGCTTCTGACACATTTTAATGTGGCAATCTGAAGCTTAAATTAAACTTCCTTGTCTATTTTTTTTTTTCTTTTATTGAAGATTTCTCGTATGGAATATGTCCATTCAAAGAACTTGATATACAGAGATGTAAAACCTGAGAACTTCTTAATAGGACGACCTGGAAACAAAACCCAGCAAATTATTCACATTATAGACTTTGGTTTAGCAAAGGAGTACGTAGATCCAGAAACAAAGAAGCACATACCATATCGAGAACACAAGAGCCTTACAGGAACAGCTAGATACATGAGTATAAATACGCATTTAGGAAAAGGTACGTGTGCTTTTTAAGTACAGAAACAGCTGTGGTTTGTCATAAACCATCTTGCTTTCAAGTAACAGTTTTTGTCAGTCCCTAGTCATTAAGAACTACAAATTTTGTGTATTGTGCAAAATATAGTTTGGCCTTATGGAAATGCTGTTTATGGGAATAATCTTTTTTGAATTGCTAATCATCTTGATCATGTCTTGGGAATTGTCCTCTTTGTTAGCTTTCCTTAAAAGAAAGATGTGGTGTATCTTTTTGTAGCATAATACCTTCACATTATAAGTGTACCATGGCAGGGTGAAGTGTCCAGGAAATCGGTGTGCTTATTAAATGCACAAAAGTCAATAGGTTGCAATAGCATGGATTTTCAATGCTTCCTTGCTTTTCCGATCTCTTTGAAATGCATCATAAAGTAATAAAACAGCTTGGAGATAATGCTGATTTCTCGATTTTTTTTTGCATTTTTTTTTAGTGCTTACACTGTTAATAAGGCATTGTCAGAGTCATTAAAGGTTATGCCAGCAAGCTAAAGAAATTACAGGATATCTATAAATAGAAAAGTTGGTTTTATTGAATGAATAAATTCACCTTGAGAAAGGTATGAGTACTCAGATCTTTGTTTATTACAGCTATAGAGAGGTTTTCTAGTGAAATCAGTTAGTTAGACCCCTTTGTGTATGCCAGTTGTTTATCACTGCATGGTAATCACTTACTAGGTTATTCTTTGAGTTGATCATAAAAACGTTGCACAATACTTACAGTTTAACTGTAAGCATAGCTGTTAAAACTGCAAATGAGAAACCATTCACATTTCTCAGACAGGAATAAGGTGCTTTATCAATAAAGCAGAGCCAGGAATCACTTAGGTTGGAAAATATCCTTAAAGTCATCAAGACCAACTGTTAACCCAGCACTGCCAAGTCCACCACTAAAGCATGTCCCTAAGTGCCACATCTACAAGGCTTTTAAGATACCTGCGGAAGTGGTGACTCAATCACTTCCCTGGGCAGCCTGTTCCAATGTTTTAGAACCCTTTTGGTGAAGCAAATGTTCCCAATATCCAATCTAAACTTCCCTATGGCAAAGATGAGGCTTTTTCCTCTTGTCCTATTCCTTGTTCCTTGGGAGAAGAGGCCAATGTGGCTACATTCTCTTTTCAGGAAGTTGTAGAGAGTGATAAGCTCTCCCCCAGACCTCGTTTTCTAAACACTCTCCATCAGCTGCTCCATCAGCTGCTCCTCATAGGATCTGTGCTCCAGACCCTTCACCAGCTTTGTTGCTCTTTAGTGCAACAAAGTGCAGCACCTCAAGTGTAGGGTTTTAGCTTCCTAAATCTAACTTTTGGAACTCAGGTTCTTCAGATCAAAGAAGCATCCGCTATATTTTTCAGGCATAAATGGTGATGTCAGTGTAAGGCGACTGTTATATTTTTGACACTGGGCTCTCATCTCCACTAGCAGAATAGACTTCTGATTATCACAGCATTTTCAACAGTGGCACAACCCCTTTTAAAATAAAATAAACTTTTTACTCCTCCTTAAATAAATGATTGCCCCTAAACCTTTTAAGAAAAACAAACCGAAATGTAAAACTGGTAATTACTTGAAAAGCAAACTGAATTTTGATTACATGTCTGATATTTACACAAGATGTGTTTATTTTTGTCTAATGGTAACTTATTTAATCGTAGAATGGTTTTAGGTTGGACAGGACCTTAAAGATCATCAGTTCTGAGTCTGTTGCCATAGGCTGGAACACCAGGTTTCTCAAAGTCTCATGCAAATTTGCCTTGGACAGTTCCAGAGATGAGACAGCTTCTTTGCGCAAGGTGTTTCAGTGTCTTGCTACTCTCACACTGAGGAGTTTCTCCTGAATCTTTAATCTAAACTTACTGTCTTTCAGTATGAAACCACTAGGCCTTGTTGTGTCACTACATGTCCTTCTAAAATGTTCCTGAATAGCTTTCTTGCAGGCTTCTTTTTGGTACTGGAAGGAGCTGTAATGTCTTCCTGAAGCCTTTTTTTCTCCAGGCTGAACAGCAGCAACTCTCTGACTGCCTTCATGGGAGGGACACTGCCTGAATGTCTTCATGGACTTGCTTGATCAGGTCTATATGCTTTGTATCTTGGGGACCCTAGAGCTGGATGCTGCACTGCAGGTGGGGTCTCACCAGAGCAGAGGTGTAGAATCCCCTCCCTTGCTCTACTGGCCACACTGTTCTGGATGCAGCCCAGGACATGTTTGGCTTTCTAGGCTGCGAGTGTACATTGTGGGGTCATGTCCCACCTCTTATCCACCAGCATGTGGAAATTCTTCTCAGGGCTGCTTTCCATTCTCTGTCCAGCTTGTATTTGTGCTTGGATTGCCCTAACTTAGGTGCAGGTCTTTGCACTTCTCGTTGTCATGTTCACACAGGCCCACCTCCCAGGCCTGTCCAAGTCCCTCTGTGGCATCCCTTTCATCAAGGGGAAGGTGCTGTTGACAGCACCACATGGCCAGATGAACTTGGCAGACTTGCTGGGGGTGTTCTTGATCCCACTGTCCATGACACCAGCGAAGGTATCACCCCGCAGTAGTTCCAGTACAACCCCTAAGGAACTAGTGTCCACTTGGATAGGGAATTCTTGACTACGATTTACAGTATGACCACTCAGCTAATTCCTTATCCATTTGTTTCAGCTGTCAAATCAGTGTTTCTCTAGTTCAGAGATAAGGATATCCTGTGTTACAGTATCAGATGCTTAGCATATATCCAGGTAGATGATGTTGGTTGCTCTTCCATGCACCAACATGTAGTTGTGTTGAAGGCCACCAAACTTGTCAGGCATGATTTGCCCCTACTGAAGCCATGTTGACCATCAGCCACCTCCTTATTTTCCATGTCCCTCAGTATAGTTACCACAAGGATCTACAGTGTGATCTTGCTGGGCCCTTGGTGAGACTGACAGGCCTATAGTTCCTCATGCCTTCCTTTTCTTCCATTTGTAATAATGGGGGTTATCTTTCTCCTCTTTTAGTCTGTGGAATCTTTACTGGGCTGTCATGACTTCTCAGATGTAGTGGATGTAATGGCTATTGTCTTCGCCTGAGACTCCCTAAAGACTCATAGATGCATCTCAGCAGGTCCCGTGGACTTGTGCACCTTCAAGTTCCTTAGATGGGCTCCAACTTGATCTACAGTGTTCTTCATTCTGCCAGTCCCTGCCCTTTTCTTCTTGTGACATGAGTAATGTGACTGGAATACATACCAGGGAAGATGGAGGCAAAAAAGTAATTTAATGTTCCCCAGGATCCAATCTAAGCTTACCTGTGGTGCAATGTAATTTCTTTGCCTCAGCTTTCTCCATATCCCAGGTCTCCTGTTTCCTTCTGGAGATGTCATGCATTTTTCCTAGTTTTCCTTTTGTCACCATCTTACTTATAGAATCTCTTCTTATTGCCCTTGACATTCCTGGCCACATTTAATCCTCTCAGGGCTTTAGCTTTCTTAAGCTGATCTCTGGCTGCTCAGACAATTTCTCTGTATACCTCCTAGACTACCTGTCCTTGCTTCCCTTCTCTATATGCTTCCTTTTTTTTCTTTGGATTCATCCAGGACCTCACTGCTTATCCATGCAGGCCTCCTGATGGTTTTTGCTTGACTTTGTTGGAAGGCATTGCTCCTGGGCTTGGAGGAATTCATGCTTCAATAAAATTAACCAGCTTTCTTAGGACCCTGCTTCCCTGCTGGGTCCTATGGTACGTTGCCAAGCAGATCCCTGAAGAGGCCAAGATGCATCTGCTGAAATTCATGATACTGGGTTTGCTTTGCTCCCTTCTCACTACCTTTAGGATCTCAAACTCCAGCGTTTCATGATCACTGCAGCCAAGGCTGCCCTGAGCTTCTCCTTCCCCACCAGCCTCTCCTTGTTGGTGAGAACAAGCTCCAGCATGGCACATCCTCCTTTTTATGTTCTCTGTCACTTGGAGAAGGAAGCTATCATCAAGGATAACTTACTGGATTGCTGATGCCTTGCTGTCTTGTCACTCCAGGAGATATCAGAGTGGTTGAGGTTCCCCTGTGAGGACCAGGGCTTGTGAACATGAGGTGGTTCCTGTATATTGGTAGACAGCTGTTATGAATGAGTGTTTGAGATCCCTTAAAAAATCATCAGCAAGGGTATCAGTAAAACCCTGATTTAATATTAAGCAATGACAAAGTTCTTTGCAAGATTCACTCTGATACTTACTAGTCAGTTACACCAAGGAAAAAGAGAAAATCCAAACCACTACTAAAATCCAGTCAATAAAAACAGAAATGAACTGTCTAGGGCTGTGTGTTAGTTTAGGTGCATGTGACAAGTGACAAAAGGACAGTGAGGGCAGGTATAAAAAAGAATGCAGCCTAAAAGCTTAACAGCACTCAAAAGTATTTAACCTTAACTTACACCTTTACTTAAACCTTAAACTTAACAATTCAACATAGGAATTAACACTCAACAACATTTAACCTGTCTTATAACCTAACCTTACTTACAAGCCTAACTTTGATATCCCAGATACCTGAACATCTGAGAGAGCAGCATTTCTCCCAGAGTTTGCTGTAGCATATGTGTATGTTTATGCACACAAAGTCAGTGCAAAGTACCTGTCAAAAAATTCCCCTCAAAGGCAGTGAAATACTCACTCTAAGTGCTTTTGCATCTCTTTATTGTGCAAAGATTCGAGCCCTTGAGGAGTGAGGGTATTGGCCTATATTGGCCATTTTTGTTCAGCAGTTGTCTGAAGCAAACGTGGGAGTTTGTGGGCTCTGAGAGGCCCAGCTCAGAGAGAGGTTGCTGGTCTCAGCTGCTGTGGTCCAGAAGAATTCAAACGTTCTCATTTTAGACCACTGTTTTATAGGATCACAAGAGAGTGGGCTTTAGTCATAATAATGTTTCATCCTGGCCACAGTGTGAGTTGGCACACAGTTGAAAGTGTGAGAACAGGGATGTTATGCTATGCAAGCAAGAAAAATAGTTTCCAAGACTGTTGATAAAGAAAACATGAGCTTGTTAGACAGCAGGGACTCCTGGGAGCAAAGGGTTTCTGATATACTCAAGAGAAGCTGAGCCCAGGTGCTGTTTGTCAAGCTGAGACCTAATGAGCTTTTTTTCAGATAACAGTGGCCTAGAAGGGGTGAGGGAGGGATGCACCACCACGAGGACTCAGCTGCTCAGTCTTCCTGGCTGGAGTGCCTGTGGCCACCTAACCCTGCCCTCCTGTTAATCGGTCCCCAATAGCTCTCAGTCAGCTCCTCATCCATCCCCAGACAAAACTCCATGCACTCAGCTTGCTATTGCCATGGAGGGTAACATTACCTCCTGGTCTCCCTTGCCTCTCCTTCCTAAAGAGCCTGAATCGTTCCATTCCAACAATTTTTTTTAATGTTCTGTGTTATGTAGTATATTTTTTAATTCATGCAGTGAGATATACAGAGCACTAAAGGTCCTCAAATTCTGTGTTTACAGAGACAGTGGCATATAGGATACAGTTATAGACTCAACTCTCAAAATAGTGGTAATAAGCCAATTTTTTCGGGTGATATTTTTAGTGTGTAGATAATTTCCTGAGCTGCTTGAATGGTCTTACAGCTGACCCTTGTAAAAAAGTGTTTTCAGTAAAGAGGGAGGCTGTCAGGTTCACATTCTCTTATACATTATTTTTGAATATGCCTCTGTTGACCTGGAACTTTATCTGTTAGTACGTATGAGTAAGGAAGGATGTTGTCCTTAAATAAAAAGTGTTATTTTAGGATCCATAGTATATAAAATTGTCATAACAAATGCATAGCTGCTAGAAAGACTTTAAATGTGTAATCAAAACTTGGTCAAAATCACCAAAACCCACTCTTTTAAGGTGTATAGGAAATACATAGTTACTGGACATCCTGTAGTCAATAATCTTTTGTTTCAGAAGAGACATTTGATCAAGGATTTCTGGTAGTTTTGTGCCAAGTTGGGAGTGTGCATATGGAATAGAAGGTATTTTGTCTATGTGAAGAATAATGTGGCTTTATTCAGAGAGCTATTTGAAGGATATACAAATACTCTGCAGCTCTTACTAGCATGTCACTGGTGCCCTACCTTTCAATAAGATAATTTCTTTTAGGGATAAAATGACTCTGCTTCTTCTCCAGTTCACTTCATTTTCAGGAGGGGAAAGTGAGATTACAGGGAGTGTAGATTCTGACTGGGAGGTTAATGAAGACAAAGATCTGCATCTGTGAAAGTTCTGCAAATTTCAGTGTTTGCTGGATATGTAAATTGGTAATTATTTTGGGATTTCCCTAAATTCAGAAGAACAGTGTATAAAGTGTTGTCAAAGTTATTTGGCTACAGAAAGCATAATCACATGGAGTCATAATTTACTGTAATCTAGCCATCTGTAATACTCTCTGGGGAACTACCCATATCCTTGATTGTATTGGTCGTTTTGTGATAGTGCTTAATTATTGCAGAGGTTAGTTATCATACAATGAATACTTGAAACTCTTCTGGGGTTTGCTCTTAATATGAATAGAAGGTCTGCTCTTAATATGAATAGAAAGGCCAAATGAAGCCAATTTGTTTAAACAAGTACTTATCCTCAAACAAAACTAGGAAAATGTCATTCTTACCTTTAGTACATGTACTCTCTTGTCAGAGCGGTTATAGGTTCTAGATTAAGAATCAGTTTTGCAGAGGCCAGACTCCTTTCTAATCTAAACCATCCCCAAATAATTCTACAGTTGATCAATTTTAATTAACTTCTTACTGCAAGAACAATGAACATTTGGTCCTAACTTTTCATTAAATCATAAAGTTTACTAAATCATGAAGTTTTTCCAGTAGCTCAAAAAAAAATAATCCTTCTGCATTTTTGAGAATGATTTCTTTCAGCCAGATAATTTTCTTAAAGTGCTGTTGAGATGAATATACCTGCAGTCTGCATCTGCTTTTTTTTTGGGTTTAGCTGTGTTCTTAAGGCAGTCTGTAGTACACAAGAATGCCTGCCCCCACATGCTCAGTTTGGTTTCAAGTACTTTATACCTAACAATTATTTTTATATAATTTGGAAGCTAGTCTTCTAAATATAATGTAAGATTACACAGATGGAAGTTTCTAATAATATTTGCATTTTGTTTCAGAGCAAAGTAGAAGAGATGATTTGGAAGCATTGGGTCATATGTTTATGTATTTTCTCAGAGGAAGTCTTCCCTGGCAAGGTTTAAAGGTAGTGGGTTTTGATATCTGCCTCTGTCCTGTTTTCAGATCATCAGCTTTTTATTGACATATTTGGGGTTTTTTGGAATGTGTGTCTGCAAGCTGTATAACTTCAGAAGCTTGTTTGTTCTTCTGTCATAGGCAGATACGTTAAAGGAACGTTACCAGAAAATTGGAGACACTAAACGAGCAACTCCTATAGAAGTATTGTGTGAAAACTTCCCAGGTAATGTCTGCTGTTAATAAAAACGTTGTGTCTTGATTTATAAAATGAAACTGGCATAGGTGATTGCTGGGGTTTAAAACTACAGTACGTGTAATAGATCACAGTACAGGGCATGTGGCACAGGATTGTGTCCAAGTAGTTGTTGAATATCTACAGTGAAGGAGATTCCAGAACCTCTCTGGGTAACCAATTCCAGTACTCAGTCACCTGCACAGTAAAGGAGCTCTTCCTCGAGTTTGGGTGGCACTTCCTGTGCTTCAGTGTCTGCCCATTGCCTCTCCTGCTATTGCTGGGCACCGCTGAGCAGAGCCTGGATTCATCCTATTGGCAACCACCCCTTAGATGTATTTTATGTATTTTATATGTATTAATGTATTAATCAGGTCCCCTCTCAGTTGCCTCTTTTCAAGGCTGAACAGGCCCAGCTCCCTCAACCTTTCCTCATATGAAAGATGCTCCAGTCCCTTGATCAACTTAGTAGCTCTTTGCTGGACCCAGTCCAGGAGCTCCATGTCTCTCTTGTACTGAGGAACTCAGAACTGGACATAGCTACTGACTAGAGGGAAAGGATCACCTCCCTTGACCTGCTCTTCATAATGCACCCCTGGATTCCATCAGCCTTCTTGGCCCCCAGGGCACACAGCTGGCTCTGAAGAGCTTGTTGTCCACCAAGACTCCCAGGTCCTTCTCTGCAGAGCTGCTTCCCAGAAGGTTTGGCCTCCAGCCTGTGCTGCTGCACAGAATTATTCTTCCCGAGCTGCAGGACCCTGCCCTTGCCTTGGCTGAATTTCAGAAGGTTCCTCTGTGCCCATCTCTCCAGGCTGCTGAGGTCCTTCTGAAGGGCTGCACAGCCCTCTGGGCTATCAGCCACTCCTCCCAGCTTTGTGTTGTCAGTGAAATTGCTGAGGAGACATCTGCCCCTTTGTCTGAATCATTGATGGATAAGTTAAACAATACTGGGCCCAGACAGAAGAATTATCCTTTGAAGCAGCAGTAAGCTAATGCTGCTGTTCTTCAAATGTATTCTTCTAAAGGAAACATTAAAAAAATACTTTATGTGTACTTACAGTGATCAACTAGTCTGCACTTTTACCTTCACACTGAAAATTTTGCAAGCCTTTTCACCTGAAATCTGGTATCATACCTCTATTAAAAACAAGCTGTGTTAGAAACAGCTTGAACTAATATTTAAAATAACTTAAAAGTTTCAGGTGTCACTTCTAGGTCTCTAGAACTACAAGGAGAATCAATGAGGTGTTGGAAAATTGGACAGAAAGAAATAGGACCTTTTTTAGAAGTTGTAATAGTTAAAAGTGCTTGGAACAGGGGACATGTATGACATGGACATGGTTTTTCCAAAATATAAATGAAAGGTAATCAAAATATCATTGATAGGCAAAGTGGATTTGCTGAGAGTAGCTCATTACTAATGAAAGGAAATCCTGTCCAGAGTAGGACTTGGGGACACAAAACTGATGCTTTATGTGGCATATCCCTTTCTTTACCTATTCTTAGTCTTGTCTCTGTAAAATTGGTTGGAAAGAAAGAAGAAAGTAGAGGCATTTCTCTCCACACAGTTTTGCACATTGTGCATTAGAACTATAACATTGAATAGAAGATCTCAATAGGTAGCATGAAGGAAAAATTAGCAGGGTGTAAATTGCTAGGATATGTTTGGAATATGGTAGTATATCTCAGAATATGGTGGCATTTTAAAGAACATCATTAAGTAACTTTTCTTTCTGGTAATTCATGGTGCACAACTGTTCAGGTTTTATGGTGAGAGGTACAAGTTGCTTTAAAATTAAATAAGGTGGTGGGGATTTTTTTGAGTTCCATTAAAACAGATAATGGCATATGTATATATTTCTTATTTATCTAGAGGAAATGGCTACTTACCTACGTTATGTAAGAAGGTTAGATTTTTTTGAAAAGCCAGACTACGACTACTTAAGAAAGCTCTTCACTGACTTACTTGATCGGAAAGGTTATATGTTTGATTATGAATACGACTGGATTGGCAAACAGTTGGTGAGTACAGTTCAGCTGTCAGTAATATAATGGCTTTTTCTGTGATCAGTTTTGAGTTTCATTAAGACATATGCTTCTCAAGGCTGCTAGTAGAGCACTGAACAGCTGCTATTACAAGCCCATCTGCAGATGCATGTTCTAACATAATCTTTTGGCTTGAGTGCTTCATATTCATTCTCTTTCCAAATGTGCTCTTATTATCAAAGTACATCTCTGCTCAACCCAAAATGAGATGGTAGAAATTTGGATTGTTTTTTTTGAAGGAACTTAAAATTTTGCAAGTAATTGTCATTATTGCGTGAATTTTTTTTATTCCCAGTATTTTGAAAATGCAGAGCTATACATCTGCATATGAGGTATACTCTAGATATTTATCAGTTCGCTATGATAAAATATTGCATAGTTCATTGAATATTTCTTTGTGGCGCCTCTAAGGTTTCAGGAAACACTCTGTTTGTATAATTTGAGAAATTGTAGTGGATGGGGTTTACTTCAGCTTCTCAAATTTTTTCACTTCTTTTTATTATTTTTATTATGTAGGGAAGGGAGGGCTAATATGTTTATATTTACCAGTTCCAGATTATGCACTTCACCCTTCTCTGTGTGATTCTGAAAGAAAGGTAGCATTTGTTTTATTGCAAAATGTATTTTTCAGTGTTTAGCATTAAAAATTGCTTTAAGCTTTTGATCAGGTTTCATCAGAATGTCGTAACTGCTAACTGCAGAAAGTATCAGCCTAAAGTCTTTCAGAAAATTAATGTATAATACTTAGAATTGCTACTTCAATACATTTTGTAAGTAATGGTTTGCTTTTTTTCTTGTGGTTATTAGTAAATATCTAGTGAAGCTTCTGCTTTAATCTGATAATTTTGTGTTACTTGAAGCTGTCAGATTTAAATATTATTTTCTATTACAAACCAGTAACTTTTGGTGAGACTTAGAAATTTATTTTTTTTACCAGTTGCTACATATTGTTTATATTTGTAGCCTACTCCAGTGGGTTCAATACATTCAGACCCTGCAATGTCTTCAAACAGAGATGCATATCAGCACAGAGACAGAATGCAACAATCCAAAAATCAGGTAAACTGCTCATCTAAGATTATCAGCATTACTATGTTTTTTGTCTAATGATTTGTGCTATGTTTTTATTAGAACTTGAAAATAAAAATGACTAGGTTTTTTTTGTTTTCACTTTAAGTAGATTTTTTGGTAAAGTCTACATATGTAGAGATACATAAATATCTCTTAAAAGCTTGCTTGTTTGAAGCTATGATATAGTGTAGTGAATCAGTAGTGAATTTTCTCTCTACTCACACTGTCTTCGCTGTCTCTCCTCCATACACTCTTTCCTCTCTTTCCATTCTGACATGTATGTATAACATTTTCACTTTTTTTTAAACCAGGCTAATGACTTAGGTGGTAACAATGTTAGGAATTCAGAGCTGTGTCAGTTTACCTAAGCAAAATTGGAGGGTTATTTTAGTGTGCTTTTTCTTACTGACAGTTTTGAGGTTTAGCTGCTTCAGCTCTGTATGAAAATATTTATGAAGGCATGTGTAAGTACATTGATAATGTTGAAGTGCAATCTATATAGGGATTGAATGTGTAGTGCTTCTGTACTTCTTAAAAATATGACAGTTAATGCACAAATTGTTTGTTTTAAATTTTTTTTCTTCTTTTGCATAAATCCTAATACATTCAAAAATGATAGTCAACAGACCATAGGGCAGCTTGGGACTCACAGCAAACCAATCCACATCATTTGAGGGCTCACCTGGCATCTGACAGACATGGCGGCTCTGTACAGGTATCTTCTGCTTCTTCGCATGACCTAAATCAGTTGTTTTGCATTACATAATACTGCTTTCCTGTAATGTATCAGATGATTCATGTTTTCATATTAAGATTGCTTATCAGTAATGTTCAGAATGCTGCTATTATTTATTATTTCCCAGTTCAGTTGTCAAACTGAAAACAGGTGCTGAAACAATGGAACTTTTTGTTGATGGAATATCTCTTGCCATGTTTCTTAGTTAAAGTCAAAAATAAAACAGTTGAGCTGTCTTTTTTACAGAATATTTACTTAGCTCAGTGAAAATAACTGAAGTTTAGACTTTAAATGTGTTACTTGTATTAGCAACTGAAACCCAATATTCACTGAATTATGTTGTCGTTCAAGCTATGTTTTTTGTTCCTTAAGTAAAAATCAAATTAAAATGCTACTTAGTGATGTTTTCTTAACCTTCACTCCATTATTCAAATAGTAATTGACTAGAAAAAGGTTCCCAGGGCAGCACCTCACACATCTCAGTGAAAAAATCTGTAGAAACCAAAAGTTTTTCCTATATTATTAGTTTATTTCATCTTCAAAGAGCTCTTTTCCTGGCTTATTTTCAATTTTTAAAACTAATTTTTGAAATTTTTGATGTCTCATTCTTTGAATATATTTAGGTGTGAAATAGTTGGAGTAATGTGTGAGGAATTAATACTGGGAGATTCAAAATGCCAAATGTGAAGTCTACATGAGATTTTGAGCTTTGAGGCCAAAATGAAAATGGTTCAGCTTTGTGAAGTCTTATCTGGGTGGGGGTTGTGTGTGGAAATTGTTGCTGCATTTTTGATTATGACAATCTAAGTTATGTATGTTTCTTCTGAAGTTTTTAATTTGGAAAAAGATTGTCATGGCCTGAAGAAAGAATGAAAAGTTCAGGATACAGAAAAAAAGGCTGCAGTCCTGTCAGTGTAATAGCATTCTCTAAATTTTGTTGCTTTAGAAACAGCTGTCATGTGTAGTGTAAGAAAATCTAGTAGGTGATAATTATTATGGTGTATAAATAAAAATTTAAAAGTTGTTCTTCCCATTAACAAATGTTTAAAAAAGCCTTCTTTTCCCATATTTTAGGTTAGAAAAATACACATTGAATTAGTTAGATTACAGTTAGTAGAACTTTCAAAGTGTCATTGTATGATTCTGTTGGCAATTGTGGCACTTCAGAAATCTTTTATTCTTTGTCAGGTAAAATTTAATGATCACAAGAAATTTTCTTCCATTGTAAAATAGGCTGAATACCCTTCAGGGATGGGGAGAACATTTTCTAGGAAATAACACAAATAACACTGGTATTCCTTACTTTTAATATAGTGTTGTTTCAGTCCTTTCTCCTCACAGGATACAGGCAGTCTGAATGAGTTCAGATCATGTAGATCTGTTGAGGCTAAGCAATTGCCACATGAATGAAAGGACTGTGCAAAACTGCATATGTCCATATGTCTTTGAAGATCAAGTGTTGTGCAGCAGGATGTTTTCATATTGGATTGCTTTTTTGTTGTGGGGTGGTCACGCTTCCTTATTAAGGGCACTTATAAAATCACATAGTATCTCCAGTTATGCTGTGACATAGCCCCTGGCTGTTATCAAATACATCTTTGTTGCAGGGATACTAACTGAATCATGCTATTTGTTGTTTCATTAGCTAGCTACTTTAGTAGGATTCTTAGTTGCTTCCAAGGAGACAAATACTAAAAGTCATACAGAAAATTGTTCAAAGGTAAAGTTAAGTCTGAGGTGTGAACTTAAAGTGTATTTTTTTCTTTGATGTTAGTGAGCCATTGCTCATCTTTGAGATCAGTTTTATTAATTTTTCTGCAAGGTATGAAAGTCTGTTAGATTATGTCAAAGTGACAGTGGAATGTTTTTAGGTCAGTGCTATTAATCATGTGTAATACTACTGCTGATGTCATCTCTTAGGCTCTTTTTTAGGTGATTATTCAAATGTGCTAGTGATTCTTTTCTGTGACATATTAACATTGAGGGAATTGAATGTTGGTGATGTATGTTTGTTAGCATACATTTGTATGCTGTTAGTGATAAGTTGAAGTGGGAACCATTGAGGTTCAAACTGGTATTTCATTAACAGATATTGTTCTACTTTTTGTACTAATTTAATTTTTCCCAGACCCTAGGCTTGTGTACAAAACATCCTTATGTGCTTAGACATGTCTAATTTTACTTTGTAGATTCAGTTAAAGTTCAAATAGTACTAGGAAATTGAGTTGTAAAAGAAAGACATCCCTTCTTCCACTTACATCAGTCAGTTTTTCTAGTTCATGCAGACTTCTTAATGATCAACTCATACCTCCCCGCAATTTGTTCAACAACTTTTGTGCGTTTGTTCTCATAAGTTTGTCTCACTTCTCAAAATGTCAGTTGAGAACAACACTGAATTATTTTTTTCTCTGCATGAGCTGCAATCTGCTTGCGCACTCATAAAGACTATATTAATCTGTTCCATTAGTTTTTTTTCCATTACTTACTAACTGGTCTTCTTTCTCTTACCTTTTCTCTTTCTTTTTTCCCATTGGGAAATTCTTTAAAAGGAGGTTAGATGGAAAGATTGGGTTAAAGAGTTCCCGGTAAAGTACTTAGGAACTGCTTGAAAGACTTTTATATTTGATGTAAGTAGTTTTCAGTTGCCTGATTCCTCTCCTTCAAGAAGTCAAGATAGTAAAGTGTTAGATGAAACAAATCAATTTTGCTGAGCTTTTGTGAACTAAAAAGGTATTGTGATAACTTTTATTCTTTTGTCTTTCCTGAAAACTTTTTGAAGGTAAAACAAAGAATTGTGTAGTATCACTAATGAATTCCTTGGAGATGTAGACTGGCTTTATTTTTTGAGTGGAGAATTTAGTTACTGAGATTCTTAATGGGATTAAGGGGTTTTTTTCTATGTCTGTTCCAAAATTTTGCAATTCCTTGTTGTGACTACAGTAATGAAAATCAGCAAAATTTGCTTTTTATGGCAGACTTTCTAACTGATTTTTGAACATAGCAAGTAAAAGATCAGTTTGTGTACTAATCTAGAACAAAGTATAAGCATTCTGTGCTTCCTTTGGAACCAGACTCATTTGATGGTCAAGTTGAGAAAAGTTTTTTTACCCTTATATTTTTATGACTGCACCTATCTTAATTAGCAAATACTTCTGATGCACTTTTCCACTCTGGATATTTTACAAGAAACAATTAAATGACCTTCACAGTAAGATACCTAGCGAGGTGGTTGGGATAATACTATATCCCTGTTCTTAGTAAATATGTAATGATGACAACTCAGAATATTCTGTGACTCTGTAAAACCCAGTAACTAGTAACCTAGGATATTTGGTTCAGGATGCCTGCCTCACCATCTTAAGGTTTGTTAAAGTACAATTCCTACTTATTTCTGCCACTGAATGTGAAGTGGTTCTGCCATGCCCAGTGATACAAAACTAAGCTTAAGACACCTAGTTGAAACTCCAGTGTCTTACTTATCATTGCAGGAATAAAGTCCAGTCTCCCATGATTCCTTCAGTTATATTGACTAAAATTTAAGTAGTTAGATTCCTGCAATCTCGCATATAATTTATTTTGTTATGAGCCTGCAGGGTTTTTTTAGCAGTGGTTCCTATTTTAGTGAAATTTGAAAAAGAAGAAAACTTGGCCTGATGTCAGCAAAAGGCATGGAAAATGCCTTGAGTGCAGCAAACTTCTGAGGTGCAGTACTTAGTTACAATAGGAACCACAAAACAAACCTCAATAGGCTAGGCTCTTAGCTCTGGTTATAAATAGATGAGACATAACTGCTATAACAAGAGGAGAGCTTGGAAGACTGAGGGAAATAATATTATGGTAGTGATTTTCTTTCTCATCTACTTTAATCTCTGACCATCAGACAACAGCTGGTAATAATCTTGAATTACAGACTACTCTTAGTGGCTCTATAGCTGATTAATTGTTTACAGCTGTTTTCTGCAAACTTTTATATTATTTGTCCAGAATTACATTTTTGTGCTTGCTAGCTTGCTGAGCAGTTGCTGCTATTTAATAGCTGGTAGACCTTTCCATGGTGTCAAGTCAACACTTTAGTGGGTCAATTAGCACTGTCAACAGCTCTGATCAGGTAGGCACTTGTCTATGCCAGTTAACCATCTTCCTTTTTGTATTCTGTGGGGTTGATAATGGAGAGACCTCTGGAATGGCTCCATTTGTCATGCAGGAAAGCTGACAGGAACTGAGAGAGGGAATATTGGGTTCCACTTGGTTTAGGTCCAAACAAATATTCCTGGAGAACCACAGCTTTCATGGTGACTTGAACAATTTACTTAGAAATTTCATGGTAAACTAATGGGAATGAAGATTAATCTAATTTTTATAAATTTTTTGGCAGTAGATGTTTTCGTGTCCTAAAAATCAGAGACCATATACTCTTATGTCTAGAAGACAGCCTTAGTTTTTCCCTTTTCTGGTGAGTGTTCTTTGAGATACAACTGAAGCAGACCTTTGTATTCAGTGTGAATATAAAGAGCTAAACCAAGGAGCATAAACATACTGAAGGAGCAGAAATAGGGTTAGACCGACTGAATAGGTATTGGAAAAGTGCTTAGTGCCTTCCCTTAGGGCTCTGAAGAGATGTGGGGGAGATTAGTAAATGGCATCCACAGAGTTGCTTTGCTTTATCCACTCACTTTGAGTTCATTGTAGAGGTTAGTTCCAATAATAGATATGAAAGGAGAATTACAAGAGCACAGGGATGCCAGAATTGAACCTGGAGAAAATACTGTTACTGGAATAAAAATAACTATAGAAATAACAAAAAATACTGTTTTTTTAAGATGTATTGGAACCTTAGGAATTAACAAATGTATGTCTGGCACTAGTATAATTTCAGGTCTTTCTTCTGATTTCAGGTAGTAAGCTCAACAAATGGAGAGCTGAACACAGATGACCCAACTGCAGGCCGTTCAAATGCACCCATCACAGCTCCTGCAGAAGTAGAAGTAATGGATGAAACAAAGTATGTCCTTCTTTTTATCTTCTTTGCATCTTTTGTGCTCAGCTGCTTCAATATTTTTTTATATAGTTTTTCAGAAAATGTTGTCTGAACTGAATAGTCATTGGTGAGGAGCAAAACTACAGTGCTATACTTAATTTTGTCTTTAAGTTTCTAATTAGTAGAGTTCCTGTAGCTTGTGATTTTTTAGCCTAAGCCTTGAATGACATGCTTGCTATGCTGGCTAGAGAAGTGCATGCATTTTTGATGTTTCAACTCATTTTGAAATATTTATTTTAAGATAGTGTTCTGACTACCAAAAGCCGTAGAACATGTAAAATTCTTCCTCTATATTGTATTCTGATTCTCTTTTTTCCTTTGCTCTCTTTCTGTATAGCTGCCAGAAAGTGTTGAACATGTGGTGAGTTATACAGCACAGGCAGGCAGAAATAGCCCCAGGAGCTTTGTTCTTTTCATTTTGTTTAAAACTAACTTCAGAAAACTTAAAAATTAAATATCTATTTAGAAATGACAAAATAAATTTTAATTCTGTGAAACAATTAACTGTTTTTACAAAAAGCCACCTTCAGGAGCTGTTCTGCCTGCTTCAAAGCCTGTTTGCTTTTAAGTTGTGTAGTTTGTGATGTACTTTACATCAACCTTTTTAATGGGTACTAGAATATTTTTTCTTATTTTCTATTCTGTTTGAAAGGGGAAAACATTCTTTTCAGATATTGTAGCATTCAGCTAGTGTATTAACATCGGGAAAATAATTCGCATGAATAAGTAATAGTTGCTAGCAAATGTTTGAACTTTTCCAATTATCTCTGTAAACAAACTATTTACCAAAGTATTAGTCTGTGACAACTTTCTAACTAATCACTAAAACATAACTTCAGAGTTCCTTAATTCTTAATTATATCCAGTGCAATGGAAGGGAAAAATATTAAGGTCTGTTACCATGGGATAGACAACTAATATTTATGTATTTGAGTAGTAAACTTGGACTTGAAAAATAGTACAGGACAATAATCTTGGTAGCTAAAGGTGATATGAATTCTAACATGTTTCTTTTTATAATTGTGCTTGAAATAGGGTATGGATTTAGTTTATCATAAAATAAAGGGTATGGATTTAGTTTATCATAAAATAAAGGCACACAGGTATGAAGGATACATTAGTATCTGCATTATTGCTCTGCTACATTAGTAGCAGAGCAATTCACTAACAGCAATTTTTCTAGGACCCATTTTCCTGACTTTAGATAAAAGGGAAATTTCTCAGAGTGAAATTTTTTGCTTTTACATTTGAAGCAATTGTTCCACAAATTCTGTTTCTGGTAGGTAAGCTTTATTTGCATGTGTAATTAATAATTTTGAATGGCAGTGTCTGTAGGGCCACGTTTTTACACTGGCTTTCTGTGAACACTGAGGAGAACTACATTCTTTGCTGCCATCTTTGTGGAGTATGGTATTATTTTATTGTCAAAAATATATCAGTTCTCTGATTTTTATGTATATATGTATATATATATATATATATATATATATATATATATATATATATATATTTATATATATTTGAAACAAAAAAAAAATCCTAAGGGGCAGGGATATTGATAGGCTGCCCATAGCTAAATTCCCTATCCCCTCTCTTCAAATAAGCACAGTGATAATCTTCCTTATGCTCAGCTCATGTGCACACAGAAAAAGATTAAATTTCTTGTACTTTGAGTAGTGATTAGCACAATTAAATCCATTTCTAGTTCTCTATTTTAATTAGTTATCTGCAGAAAGTTAAGAGAATTCTCAGGAGCCAAGATGCTCAGCTGCTTGAGAAGTGTAGGAGTTCACTTCTTCTGATACGAATACATAATGGACAAATATGCTGTCCCTGACCTTTTTGGCCTACTCTTAATTAGTTTGGTTACAGACAAAATGACTAGTCTCAGTGTCCTGCTCTTTAGATTGATTTTCTTGTTTTTGAGTATGTAACACTCAAATTAGTGTTTCAGCACTGTGTTTAAACTCAAGTTTTCTGAGTGACTAGAGGTTTTACTGGGGGTAGTTTTCTATATTTTGAAGTTCTTTTATATTTTAGCAGTTAATTAACATACATGCGCGCCCACTCACCCTCGCCCCTTCTCCAGCTTTAGTATCAAACCTCAATGCATAGGTACACATATTTTTTCAGAAAGAGCACTTAGAAGATTTTAATTTTACATTTTAACATCATAATTACAAGCCTAATATCAAAAGGGGTTGTGACACATTCAAACATTTATTTATAGATTTTACACTGTGGAACAGGTTAAGGGAATGGGATTACTAGTATCCTTCATGTCTGTGACATGGATATTTTTTGTTCTAAGGAGACATTGGATGGCAAGGATATGTCTAACTTCGTGCCTCTTTCATAATCTTCTTTTCTGCCTGAAAGTATGAACAAAGCTAACCTCTCTTGCTCATATCTTCTGTTTGTAATGTTTCCTTATACTCTGAAAAGACAACCTTGAATCTTATTTAGAAATGCTTCATTCTTCGTTTTAGATGTTTCCTTAGTTTTAGAAACTTAGCATGACTATATCTTCATTTAAAAGATTTTAAAAGGGGTGTCCCTCATGTGGGATTGTCCCCATTATGTAGGATTTTAACTGTGAACATAAGTGTAATTTAGGTGAATATTTGAGCTTCTGCTACCATTTTGGTGAAATCCTGTGAATCAGAAAGGATAAGTTTGGGGTTTTCTAATTCTATAAGGATTTTATTGTTTTGGGACGTTTAACCAACGTTTAACCAAACATTTCATTGCTCAGTAATTATTTATCTACTCACATGCAGTATATATTCTAAATCTTATGCCATGTCATTTTCATGGTGGGTGTGCAGCTAGCATGACTTAGCAGTGGGTGTTGTGTTTTGGGAATTTTGGTGGGTTTGGTTTTTTTGTTTGTGAGTGTTGTGGGTGGAGGGGGTTGTTGGTTATTTTTGTTGGTTTGGGTTTTTAGAAAAGTTGCTTTCTGCCCTATTTGAGTTGTTACTTAATGAAGTTGTAAAGCAAGGAGAAAACTAACCTGATCACTCTGCTGCCCTGACACTTGGGGATCTGCAGATCTATCTATAGTCTTCTACAGATGCTCTTTCATTTATCACTGAGTAATTAACCTGTCTTTCCTCTTTGCTAGCCACAGAACAGTTGCTTCTATGAAACATGTGTGATTTGGATAACCAAAAGGCTCTTCTGTGGAAAGGCAGAGAAGGGCAAAAAGGAAATAATTGTATGATCTGTCCTTTTTGCACCTTGCATCTTTTTTGCCACTTTAAACACTGGCTACTAATGCTGCAGTCAAGTGCCTGCCACGTGCTTGATGGCAAATATAAAAACATAGCTGTCTAAACACAAATGACAAATTAAGTTGCTTTAGAATTTTGGCCTAAGGCACTGTTCAACTGGAAGGAAGGGTATTTAACAGGAAAAAAGATATGGTAATGACCTAGGAAGAACAAAAACTGTTCAAAACTATAGTGCTGAAATTGCTACCTCAGATAATACCTCAAAAGACACTTTAGATTGTACAGGAAAAGTGCAGTATTCTTTGCACTTTATAGATTGTTGTTATACTGCCGACTCTAGAAATGTTAACTCCAGATGAAGATTAGCAGTCATTAAGTACTTTATTTAAAAAAAATCCTTTCCTAGAAGTAGAAATTTTTAAAACTTACTTCTTCCGTATTTTGCATGCATATTGAGTAGTATAATAAATTTGTGGTTTAATAGTCCTTAATAAAGCACCTATCTATAGCTTTAAATATAGCTCTGAGCAATGTAATATCTGTAATATGTAAAAGTGACAATACCACCCTCTAGCGACAGTATGCTGAAGAACAAGTCTGCATTTCTGTTACGAATTATACTCATTGAGACATGATGCACTATGAATCTCTGACTCAGGGTTATGTTTCTTTCAGAAATTTTATTGTCAGGCAATAGAGTCTGTTCTACCATAATCCCATTTAAAGGTGCATATACTTTAAAATTGCATTTATTTGGCTTTGGAAGCCAATTTGAAGTCTAGCACTTCTAGATTTAAAAATCACAGTGTTAAAGTGTACTTCAGTTTCTATTTCCAAAACAGTCCTCTGGTTTACAATTCATCATGGAATTTGCATTCCTTTAGTCCTTTTTATATATGTTATATATTATTAAGATATTTATTTTTCCACACCAAATAAAAGTTTTCAGCATTTAATGATTTCTCCTTGAATTGAAATTTAGTTGAATAGTTTTTATAGTTTAAAAAAACCAAACAAAAGAACTGTTAATAGAAATTACACTCATTATAGTAGTATTATGCAAACTCAGAAGACCAGAGGACTAAAAAAGCTGTGCTTTATGTTGCTTAAAAATAGAACTTTTGATTTTACCATTGCATGGTGCCCTTTTTCTCTGGTTGACAGAGAAGTAGGAGAAGGAATAAAAAACAGTATGAGATTTGCAGCAAAGATGAGTTAAAATTTTCTAATAAGAAAAGCAAAAAGACCTAAAGTGTCCTTGAATTTCAGAGAGCATCCAAGTAGTCCTAAATGTTTAAGAAGTATGATCTACTTGGGTTGTGATCCATATAAATAAAGTTTATTTAAAGAGTGAAGAGTTAACATTCTAGATAGGTGTTCTAGAATATAAATTGTCTGCTGTACTTCCATCTTCCTACAGTTACTTATGTAACCTGTATATTCTAATGTTATAAATCAAGACAGAATTTTTCTGTGGGCTTTCCCTAAGGCATGCTAATCTTGAGCAAGTATAAAAGTGATTTACCATCACAGATGAGAGTAGGATTTCCTCATCTACAGGATCATAGGATCATTCATATAGAAAGGGAGGAGAACTGCTTTGAAACATGGCATATATAAAATACTTGGAGTGAAAAAGAAATTAAACTAAATTGGGGTTCATAGATCTACAAGTAGATTCAAAGCTTAAGTGATAATGAATGTTAGTAGTTATAGGCAGATGCTAAACAAAGGGTTAGTAGTTATGGGGGAATTTCAGTTACAGTCAGTGGCTCCTACCATTCAAAACCAATTATATTTCTTCTTTAAGAAGTACTTCAAATTTAGTAAATACAGTATGATACTTCTGCTAGCTGTAAAAGTACTTATCTGTGTAGTTTCCCCTGCTGAATTTTAGTTTTGGGCTTCCTCTTCATCAATAACGAATGTTTTTTTCTACTGAAAGTTATGTAACTCTCAGAGCAGTTCTGGTCTGCCTCTGCCCACTGCTACTTTTTCAGTGACTGAGCAACAGGGTGCCTTGGATATTTTGAGAAGGTAACTTCTGTCTCCCCTTACTTTGGATGTTGTTCTCACCCCCGTAGAACCTTATTTTTAGACCCTTAGTCTCCCTGATTTTTAAATGCTTTCCCCATTTCCCATATTCCAAACTAAATAATCTGGATTCCTTTTGAATTTTCGTGACATAAATGCTTGGTGGACTTAAGGATTTACCGATCAAGGCTATTCATGCAGTACATTTGTATTTTCACTACTGCTGTACTTCATCGTTTAAGACTCATCAGTGTATAGCACTGCAAGTGAGAATTCAATAACCAAACCACAGAACTCCATGGGACAAGCTCTATTAGAGTAGACAACTTGCATGTTCAGTTTTGGTCACACACATTGTGAACACTTCAATGTGAAGCTTTATTTTTAAAGGTGGTGTTCAGGACCTGAGAGTTGCTTAAAATAAGCCGAGCAGTACAATTTAAAGGAATTTTTTGTGTGTGCGTGTGTTATTTGTTGTTTTCGTCTTTATTTTCAAAAGTTCTTTCTGGACTTCTGCAGTCCTTCTGTATATTATCTATATCTAACTCCCTCCAACTCTTTTTCATTTTGTAATGTTCTTTCAGGTACTTTTCAGATTGTCTCTGTTTGCGAAGTGAAATTCACAGTGTTTGTCAGTTTCTTTCATTCATGTAGTATTCAATTAAGCAGAAGAGGGATTATCAGTGTTCTTTATTTTTAAGCTGTAGTTTTTCACTGTAATATTTATTTTCTCAGCACTGAGTCAGAGCATTAATTATGTTGTTCATTAGAATTTTCTCTAAAATGTCTTGTGGAATAGCCTCGGAGAAAGTTTTTCTAAGTTCTGGTTGACAAAGGAAGCTCAAATTGTTTTCTTATTTTAGCAACAGTAGTGTCTTAAGTGCACAGTTTAGGTGACACAGTCATAAGCACAAGCTTCCATTTGGCATATTGCCAGTTAATATGAAAGAGTACTCAGGTAATGGAATATTCTTTATTACAAATGCATTTTTAAGTCAGTCTATAATACCTGTGCTTTTGATACTCTCATCAATACTCCAAGCTTAATAGCTACTTGCATTTTAGCTTTAGTTTGATACTTTTTATGAAAAAAGGTGAAATGTGTCAAAAATATCTCTACTTCAGTTTCTTTTTCTAATAAATCAATTGCCTGCAATAGAGCTTAATGAGTTCCTTGTGGTGCTGGCTATACCTGAGCTATGTACTTCAAATGAGACATAGAGTAAATAGTTTAGTTTTGTGGTTTCTTTTATATCATATGTAATTCATGTCACACTTGCAGGTGCTGCTGCTTATTCAAGCGGAGGAAAAGGAAAACCATCCAGCGCAACAAATGACTAGAACCAAACAGAACATGGGAAAATGCTTATTTGTTCAACTGTTGTCTTGTGATCTTAAAAAAACAACAACAAAACCCAAAGCAAAAACCTCCATAATAAACACATTTTCCAAGGACTCTCTGAGAAACAATATCATGCCTCTGTGCTTTGATTTGGTTCTTCTGCATCCATCTTCTGTTTCTTTAATTCATCTTTTCTGAAAGCTTTAAGATATTGTCAAATAGGAGTGCTTCTTTGACCATCAACATACGGACCAATGAAATGATAGAAAATGAACAGTATCTTGAGCAAAACTGAACTTGAGAAGTATTTCTTCTTTCCTAGGAAGTAGTAGCAGTGTCTTAGATGAAGACGGATGTCATAAATCAGTTATTTGAGTTTGTAGCAGTGTATCTAAAGCGGTTTTCTTCAAAAATGAAGAAGAAAAATACAGATACACAACAATAATGCAAAATAATAAAATCTTAAGATTTATTTTATGACATTTGCATTGTTTTTCTTCTTTTGCCTCAGTATTACTGGTTAGTCAAATTGTTACTCCAGTCAAATTGCCATTGTCTAGAGATACTGGGGATGCTGGTTGACAGTTGTCAAAATGCTGGTGCTACTAACAGAAAGTATTTCCAATACCCTTTTGGTTTGAAAACCTGCTTTTCTTTTGCCAACAATGAATATTGCAGTACAGTAGAAATTATAAGGGTGTTTGTGCAAGAGTACAAATGTTTGTATAATTTAAGTTGTACATCTGGTAATGTTAACAAGATCAAATTACCTTCAAAAGAGCTCTACAGAGCAAATACTGAATCTGCTTAAAGCAGAATAAGTATGAAAACCTGTATGTTCACTAAGAGAGTTGATGATTGACAGCATCTTTAACTTGAAAATATAGACATGCCATGTAAAGTTAGGGGTGTACTATTTGTTCTTTAATTTAGAAAATAAATGCAATAGAAGTGAGTTAGACTTCTGCCTTCACTGCATACTAGCCCAGAGCATCCCAAATCTCGTACTTTTTGTTTCCTGGAATTTTCTTGTCTTGCAGTGTAAGGTCACTAGTATCATAGAATGGCAAGGATGTGTCAGATGCTTCTCTACAGTTGGATGAAGTATGAACTTGCTTGCAGTATGAACAAACCAACAGTTCTGTAGGCAAGGCAGCCCATTTTGTATTTTCTTCTTCAGAAAATACATGCTTCTTTTAAAGTCATAGTGACAGAGTTCTGGTTTTTGTCATGTTTAACTGCCAGTTTTGAAGAAGAGCTGTGGAAGATGGAAGTGACTAGATAGAATTATTGACCAAACACAAATTATCTCTGTTTCTTTAGAATTCTTCTAGAGCTAAGTAGCGTTTTTTTTTCTTTTTTCATTTGTCCACAAATGTCTTTTGGCATACATATTTATTTTTCTTCTGTTTTGTGGTAGCATTTAAAATGTATATAAAAGCAAAGGTACACCTTTGAATTAATCATTGCATTTACAAGGATTTAAATTTTATTTTGTAATTTATTTTTCATTAAGAGCCAAAATTGTATTTTATTGTTTGGATTATGTGCTCATATGTATGCTTCAATCTTTGTCATTATTACTGTTCATGCAGTTAAGTTTTGTTTTAGAAAACCTGAACTTGGCCTACAAATACACACTGCGTAACAGGTCATAAGTTTCCACTCCACCAGGGTGTGTTACTGATTATTTCAGACTCATAAAGTTTTTTCTTTGTTTTTGTTTGAGCTGAGAAGTATGTCACTTGACCATTCTCTTATGAAAACACATCCTCCTTTGTAGTACTTGACCAAATCTGTTGCTTGTACATGCGGTATGCGTATTTCTCGCACACCTGGTGAGTTTTATTCTTGGAGGTTTTTCATCTCTACGGTGTTTGTATGATCTGAACTCCATAACAAGAAAGTGTGAATATTATGGACTTACAATGGTTGAATATATAAAAGCTGTTTATTTGCTGAAATGATTAGCAAGACACTAGCTTTTCAGCAATTTAAGTGCTTGATTTTAATGCGGAAGAAGGTTTTCTTCTAGTAAAGCAGTTGGCACTAATGTAGGTATGCCAATATGATTTGCATTTATATAATTTTTCTTCCTGTCTACAGTAATGAAGTAAACAATGGCTGGATGTCTAAAACTGAAATACATCCCTGTTTAAATGTAAGAAAAAATAAAGATAGTTTTTTAAAATTTGCCTTTTTCCCCCCTTTTCTACAGTCTTAGACGAACTAATGTTTTAGGATATGCTGAACAAATCTAATCTCTTTTGATGGGAATGAATTTGAAAGCATGATTCTCATAATGCTTGACTTAGAGTTGTGTTTGCTTACTTAACAGATGTTACTGGTATGTGCTTTAATAGACTTGATAACAGCAACGGAATTAGGAGACCTCAATGCACACATTTGAAATCTACTCATGGATTAAAGTTTATGCTGTCTGTGCCACCTTAAAAAAGACCTGAAGAGGTGTAGGAAATGTATGAAAAGGACATGTTTTGGGTTAGAAGAGGCCCTTAAATAACATCTAGTCCAAGCACAAAACTCTACTACCCCCTCCTAATGTAAGTGTGGAAATGTTTCACTGGATCAGGTTGCTCAGAGGCCCATCCAGTCTGACTTTGAGTGTTCCTAAGGATTGAGTACCCACAACTTTTTCAGGCAACTTACTGCAGTTGCTTGTCTGACCACCTCCATGGAAAAAAAGGTCTTCCTTACATTCAGTCTAAATCTACCTTCGTTCAGTTTTATCTGTAATTTCTTGTTCTGTCACAGGCCTTGGTAAATGTCTCTGTGTTTTATGTTGCAAGTTTTGAAAGCCCACAATTAGGTGTTTCCAGAATTGTCTTTTCTCCCGGCTGAAAAAACCCAATACTCAACCTTTCCCTATAGGAGGAGTATTCTCATCCTCTGTTGATTTTTGTTGCCTTCTCTGGACCTTCTCTAACAGGTTGCAAGTGTTTCTCTTGCTGGGGCTGACATAGCACTGCAGTGGGATCTCGCCAGAGCAAAGCAGAGGTGCAGAATCCCCTCCCTCACCCTGCTGCCCACGCTGCTTTGAATGCAGCCCAGGACACGGTTGGCTTTCTGGCTGAGTGCACATTGCTATGTCGTGTCTAATTTTTCATTCATCAGTATCCCCAAGTCCTTCTCTGGTCTCAAACCCTTCATCCACCAGTCTCTACTTAGAGTGGTGGTTGCCCTGGGCCAATTGCAGGATGCTGAACTTGTCCTTGCTGTCCTTCAGAAAGTTTGCATGTGTGCACTCCAAAAGCTTGTCAAGGTCCTAAAGTACATAGAAGGTTGCTTTTGATAAAGGTCCATTCCTAGGTCTGTTGTTTGCGACTAAAGATAGTCTGATGGGTGAAGATTAGTGGCTGTCTTGGTTGCAGCTAATAATGAAGATGTTAAGTTTAAGATACTTGGCACTACGAAAAAAAAATATCAGCAGAGCTACTACCCAGGAAAGACCAGGCTTTTGGCTTTCAAGGGTGTTTGGGTCCCCAGTGGACTTGTGTGCAAAGAAAGACTGCTGAGTGATGTGATTGGAGGCTGTCTTGGGCACAGAGATCAAAAAATTATTGAGCTTTTGGTTCTCAGAGAAGTGAGGAGGCAGATCAGCAGAACTGCCATCTTGAATTTCTGGAAGATAGACTCTGGCCTTTCAGCTTTATATCGGAGCAGACTTTGTATAGTATGAAATATTCCTTTGGTCAGTTTGGGTCAGTTGTCTTTTTCATGTCTCCTTCCTGGGTTTGCCCAGCCCCAGCCTGCTGGCGGTGGGGGTGCAGAATCTTGGGGAGACAGTGCTGATGCTGGGCCAGGGCTGCTCAGAGGTAGCCAAAGCACCACTGTTACCAGCACCTCACCAGTCACTAACAGCACAGCAAGGTGAGGGCTGCCATGGGGGAAAGAACCCATCCCAGCCAGACCTAATACAAGGAACATGATAGTCATCTACAAGAAGGCTGGAAGGAAGATCCAGGGAACCAACAGGCCTGCCCTCAGTGTTGGGGAAGGTCATGGAGCAAGTAGTTTTGATTGCAATCACGTGGCAATCACATACAGGATGAGCAGGGGATTAGGCCCAGCCAACACAGGTTTACAAAAGACAAGTCCTGATAAGCCCACATGGTCTCCTTTTTTTAAGGTGATCTTAGTGGATGAGGGAAAGACTAGATGTTGTCTCCCTGAGCTTTAGTGTAGCCTTTGACACGATTTCCCCCAGCATTCTGATGGAGAAACTGGCTGCTTATGGCTTGAAAATGGTGCACTCCTCACTGGGTAAAACTGTGTGAGGAGAGAGTGGAGGTGGATGGGGTTACATTCAGCTGACAGCTGGTCTTATCCGTGATCCGGACCAGGGCATTGAGTGTAGCCACAGTAAATTTACAAACGACACTATGTTAGCAGGAATGTGTATCTGCTGGAGGGTAGGAAGGTCCTGCAGAGACTTAGCCTGGATCAGTGGGCTGAAATTAGTTGAACAAGAACCTTAAGGCTGAGTGCTGAGTCCTGCCATTACAATAATCCTATGCAGAGCTACATGCTGGGGAAAGAATGGCTGGAAAGGTGCTCAGCAGCAAAGGACCTGAGGGTGCTGGTCAACAGCAGCTAACAGAAGCCAGCTGTACCCTGAAGGAAGGCATCTTGGCATCTATCAAGAATGGTGGGGCCAGTAGGAGCAGGGATAATCCCAGCATGATGGACCCCCTATACTGGTTGCTGGTGAGGCCATACCTCAGGTCCTGTGTCCATTTCTGGGCCTCAGTTCAGAAAAGACATTGAAGTGCTGGAGGCAGGCAGAGAAGGGCAGCAGAGCTGGGGAGGGGTCTGGAGCACAAGTCTTGTGCAGAGTGGCTGAGGGAGCTGGGGGTGTTCAACCTGGAAAACAAGGCTCAGGGGGGACTTTGAGGGTGTAGCCAGGTGGGAGTCAATGTCTTCTCTGAAGAAACAAGTGACAGTACAAGAGGAAATGGCCTGATACGGTACCAGGAGAGATTTACATTGGATACTGGGGAAAGATTGCTTCTTCAAATGGGTTCTCAATCATTGGAACAGGCTGCCCAGGGAAATGGTGGAGACACCATCCCTGGAGGTACTTAAAACATGTAGATGTGGTGCTTTGGTACCTGGTTTAATGGTGGGCTTGGCAGTGCTGAGAGTGGTTGGGTTCAATGATCCTGAAGGGCTTTTGCAGCAGAATTCTGTATTAATGCTCGGAATGTACTATTATACTATATTTCAGATGCATGAAGTGCTAGCATTGACTGTCCATTGCTTGGACATGAAGAGCCATAGATGACCAGTTGCCTTTCTGTGGTTCAGTTTGAGACAGCATAGCTGCAAATCTTTATCTGGTTTTTGAGGCAGTTGTCTGTGGGTGACTATGTAAACCTGCACTTGGTTTGACCCCTTGACAGTTGGGGCATGGGTCTTAAATGAGTCTTAAATTCATCACACATTAATTTAGTATTTTCTGTATTGTTCCTTTCTTGCATTGGCTAGCGAGTTTGTTGTGGTGCACCTAAACAAAATAGCAAGAGTTCTTCACTGCTTCAGAGATATAAATCTTGAGACTTCAATAGTAGTCCTTCTTTTTTGCTTTTGTGAATACATAGGTTCTGAACTTGGGTATCCACTTCAATTTGAATTAATTTTTGAGCGGTAGATCCGTTTGTTTTATCAGCTGAGAATGTATGCTGTCTGCATTCTGCCATATAGGGTTGTCCTGAGGATCCCTGCTAGGAGTTTGTTTTCCATATTAATGCCCTCTTTCTATGAACAAGAGGGACTGAAGATAAAGTTCTTTAGAGCTCCCAGAAATTAGGTAGGTAGTAGGTATACATAAATTATGCCAATTTGATTGATAAACCTCCCCGCATGGACAAAAATCACAGCTGGATATAGCAATCTAAATTTGCTGAGGTAAATTGAACAGTTTCTTACATGGAGGACAAATGAATATATTTCTTTGTTTATTTTCTTAAATGAAGAAATTGAATTCTATAATCTGGTTGTGCTGTGCCATTTTATTAAATAGTTACAGAAAACTACCTTTTCTGGAAAAGACAAGGTAAACTTTAGTAGTCTTAGGAATACTCACGTGTTGCAGGTGAAATGAGCCCTCTGTATCAATGACAAGTGCAGAGAATTTCAGTATCTTTTAATTCTGCCCCCCAGTTAAGCATCAGTTTTGTGTAGTGCATTATTAAAAAGGTTCCTGCTATGATGAACAGAAAACTTGTCAGCTCTGCCATGTTCTTTATTGCTTGGAGCATCAGGTTTGTCTTCCACCTGCAGTTTCTTTGCAGGAAGCTCCATGTCCATTTTGGAAGGGTGGTTTACTTCAGAAGCAAGCACAGGTGCTGTAAATGCACTTGGTCCATATGAACTGCACTATGTGGCAAAACACTGAAAGTGAGCAAATGAGGGAGGGCACTCTTTGAAGCTCTCTGTGCTGTTGATACCTTCTCTTCACTGAGGAGACCTTGGCACTATGGATGGCCTGGCATGCTCTGATACATGAGGTGAGTGGAAGCACTGGTGTCAATTTGTGTGTTAAATGTTAGTAAAACTTAATTTGTTTCTTAAGTGGTTTTGTTGTTGGGATTTTTGTTTGCTTGTATATTTGTTTTTGCTATAAAATAAATATAAATGAAAGTTCCGCTGATTGCTCCTCTCACCGCAGTGGATATTCTTGCTCACTCCTGGGGTTTGTGCACCCCATGTTGGAGCCGAGGGCTGAGAAAACTGTAGGATGGTATAATTGGCTTGTCCTCTGCAGAGAACCACATTTACAAGGCCAGTTTTCCACACCTGGCTCAGTACAAATGGTGTCCACAGCTCTTAGTCAAGTTTCTAACAGTAATGGGGTTTTTTGCTAGGTTTTGGTAGGAAGTGTTTTTTCACCTTTCAGTCATAGTTGAACTCATGCCCCCACTTTGGTTTGATTCAATACAACTTAACACAAACTTGGAAAGCTCTCATATCCAAGGTCTGTGATTCAGCCATAAAATGACAAGACAACTGGAAAGAGTTTGTTATTCGTGTGGTTTATTTCCAGATGTCTGGCACCCCAGGGTGCCTTCTGGGGCTCAGTCCAGTCTAATGTGTGCTGGAGTCCCGGCCTTTTGCCTGCACTGTCAGGGAGGGACATCTGGGAGTTGTGGCCTGAGCATAGCCAGAGCAGGC